ATATATTATATACAGAAAGCAAATAAAGATCGCTGCCATTATATTCTCACTGAAGCTGTCAATTACTTCAGTTCAACGCAAGGTACACAAAGCTGCACTCTTGCAAAAGCGTATAATACCAAATAATCAATGAAGCTGTCTAAGCCGTGCAATAATGACGTTGTGTTTATACTTCGTGAGTATGCGGAACCCGCACTGAACAAAAACTCTGATTCTGACTAACTTAAGCACATCTGATTGGCCATTGTGTTTGCACGCTCAACAGATATCTCTGTGATTGGCAACAAAGCTCAATGCTGCAATAACGCATTGTAAACAGAAACCTTTGAAAGCTTTGACTGCTCACACAAACACTCATGGGAACATTTCAAAGAAGCTGGCTATCCGCGGTTACCGGTACTGCAGAACGGCAGGTATCGTCACATAAAATGATCAAATATATATCTTTGGCGGGACAAGGATTCATTTTGGTGCCCACCAAAATATTTTAAATGGATTGTTATCAAAGATTTTTCCCCAAGCATAACGGGACTTACTGTTGCTTCCTTTAAATAATTAACATTACAATCATGACAGCAGAATCGATTTGATTGACAGTTCTTCTGGAGGTGGAGGAGTGTCTGGTTTTAAGTGTTTCCTGTAGAGATAATATACACAACCACCACCACAATACCCCAAGACAAATATATTTCTGCTGAAGCACAATCCATGTTTTTCTTGTTTTCTTTTTGCATGTTTCTTCTCAGAGTTCCCGTGAAGAGGACTTGATAAAAAGTACAAGGCACAGTAAACACAAAATCCCCTTGATATAAATGTAGATCTCCACCGTGATCATTGTAGAAAAAAACAACAACAAAAACACATTTTATCTTACTACAACTGTTTCCAACAACACATACAGTTTACAAAGTTCCTGAATATCCAAACAGACCAAAGCACAAACCCATATACCCTCCACATGAGGTTTACAAAGGGAAAACAGATAAGCTCCCTCTGTGTGTGAGGAATATCTTTCCAAGGTCACATATGAATCGACGGCCTACTCCACAGGCACTCATTTTCACTAAACAGCGTTAACATTCCTAAGGCATACTCCTTCCCTTTGTATTTTGCGGGAGGGGGAACATCCAAAAAGATAGCGCGGGAATGGCGCAGGGGAAAAGGCCATTAGCAATTCAATAGGAGTCGACGCAAAGCGGGAAGGCCCAGCCACCATTGATTTTCAGGGAGGCTGATTTAGAAGCAGGGCCTGATAAAGCCAAAACAGCTGAGATGATACCAAAGACAGAGAGAGACACACACAATTCCATTAACTATTCTTTCAGTTGTTTTGAAAAAGCAACAATGTATACACACAAATCACAGGATAATTCTGCCATGTTATTGGAAATGCACAATTATTATTCTTTTTTTTTTTACATATTATATGGACAATTGTTGGTTGTGATGGAAATGACACCACAACTGCGGGAAAGTACTTTGTGTAAATATTATTTTTCACACAAAGAATATTTAAAGTGGTTATGCAAATCAATTACTTTAGTTACAATTACATTACTTTTTGGATTTTTTGCATGAATTTGGAAAGGGGTAAAACAATAAAATCTATGCCAAAAAAAGGCACTTAAAATAGTAGCAAACATTATGACCGCATGGTGAAAAGTTTCCAAGACAGTTTCATAAAAAAAAAAAATCAATCCCCGGAAGGGGTTGCACAGATTAGTCGACTAATCAACTTTAATGTTCTGCCATGGCGCTTTAAGCTTGACGTCGACGAGAAGATTTCAAGAAATCTATGACAAATAAATACATATACTACTCAGAGTGCTCCACAAAATATGTTTGATTATACCATCTGGATGCTCAAATTTGATCGGGTGAATGCACGTTTTAAATAGCTTATTGTACACGTAAGTTCACTGCTATTCTGAACTAGTGTGCTGCTGCATTGTAACGCAAACACATACAGACTGTCTCGCACATCACATGCAGATCGCGTGCACAGAAACATTCAGTAGCGCAGAAATGTATTGTCAACATTGTTCTGTGATTTATCAATAAAATAGCTTAGATATTGAAAAAAATCTAGCATATATTTCTTAGTAACTAAAACCCACAGCTTCACTATTAGTAGAGAGATGCTGCCAGATAGAATCATATAGCCTAGAATATAAATAATTCACATGTAATCAATCTTCTCACTAAAGCAGATGTAATCTTTACTGTGCTACGTTATAGGTATATTAGGTTAGGTAGATTTAGAACGAGCAGAAATCTGTGAGGAATATAATGACCCAAAGACAAAAGAGCTGATAAAATAAGCTGTTGCGTAGGATCAATAGCACTGTGGCCAACGCTGTGTCATATGCCATAGCTGTGCACAAGGCAACCAGCGTTCGAGTCTCAGCTCGAGGTTCAGGCTTATTTGTTCATTAATGATGTCATCAGCGACTAGTCGACGTTAACTCGAATTTTTAATCACATAAATGTCGACTTCAAAATCCAAAGTCGTTCAACCCCTAATCCAAGGAGCACAAAACAGTGCATAGTTGCAGAAATACCCATGAACAACCAGTCAGTAATCACACTTCAGTCTCTCATATCACACAGTAACGGTTCTCGGATTACTTCAAGACATTATGAAAATAATTGCTGCAGTTCAGTAAGTAAATAACAGAGTCATTTTAGTGACTTTGTGATCCATTAGACTGATTCAGTCTAGTCAGCCTTTTTGACTAATTCAATTAATTCAAGAATCATATTAAATTCAGGCTGCAAAGCTCACAACTTGGATTTCTTTTGTGCTGTGCTATAAATGGGAGCAGTGTACTTTAGTACAGTGTGTTCTGTCCAATAGAAGGACAAATGAAGAGTCATTCATTGAAGACATACAAGAACCAGTAATAGGAACAAATGTCATTAGAAGCATTTGTGCTTATATTTAGGGCTCCTTATTTACAGAACTGTTTCTGTATAAAAGTTGGTCCTTGTTTTCCAACCCTAAGCAGCATAGCCAGTACGGGGAACAAGCAAAATGGTTTTAACTGGTTATCTAAGCTGGTCAAAGGCTGTTTACTTCAGCAGGGGAGGGAGAGTGAGAGAGACCCAGAAGGCTCCAATGAAAGCAGATCGGATACAGCCGCTAAGTAAATGACATTCTGTTTGTTGCAGCATTGACCCTGCTCTCTCTGGTCATTAATTTCAATCAGGCGCCCATCATGGAACCTGGACCTCTGTTTGCCACGGCTCAGGAGAAGCAAATAAGACATGGCGGGTTCTCAGGATATCTTCACAGCATCCAGCTCAGCACAGACAAAAGTAAAGGAAAACAAATTCTTGAATATATTTGATCCAAAATCCACAATGAAGCCATATCATTTTCTTATGGTCAACTTGCTCTTAAACAATGCAAGGTCTTATTTACTTGACATTATACACTCAAAAAAAAGGAAAAAAAAAGGGGGACAATTGGTCCTCATTGAACAGATGAAGTAGACTAGATGATGACTTTTAAAGGTTTGGTTCCTGCTAAAATTATCCTCATGCACCCTCATGTCATTCTATTCATGTCATTCCAACTCCAAAAGACTTTTGTCCATCTTCAGAACACAAACTAAGGTATTTCAATATTCTTTAATTTTTTCCACAATTTTCAGTTAATTACAGATCAATGTATTATCAATCAATGTATTATATAATCAAGTGTTCTGAAGAGACACAATAACTCCATATAATGATAAACAAATTAACAGAAACTCAATGTGAATCCTTAACAGATACAAACAAACCTTATTTGTTCTCATGCATCAAGCACAGTTTTTTGGTTTCATGGATTTTCAATGGATGGACAAAAATATCTTAATTTGTTTTCCAAACATAACCAGAAGTTAAGGATTTGAATGACATGAGGGTGAGTAAATGATGACAGACCTGGAATTTTTGGTAAACTTTCCATTTAAATAATACAAACGGTAAAAGCAGACAAAAGATATGTAAACTTTACAATTTGGTAACACTTTAGTTAAAAAAAAAAATAGTAGTTATTGATTAGCTAATAGAATTACCTTATTCAACTGAGCGATATTACTTACAAATTAATTAACAGTTTCTGTATTTAGTATACGAATGTTAATATTGCGTTTCTCATTTGTTCCTGCAGTTATTCATTAATGACCGAACAGTATTCTAAAGTGTTACCAACAATTTTACTGACCCAGCAGGAAGACTACTTCTCCAACTTGCTGCGATCCTGAATTTCTTTATACAACTCATGCAAAGAACAACATTTACAAATTGCATAGTATAGAGTATTTTTATGGTACTGGTTTGACAGCCTCTAGTCAACACTTTCACTGTACGGAATAGAGATGCCTGGATATTTTTAGGAATAAGTGTTATACTGTTTAAAATAATAAAACGGTTATACATGAAGCTAAGTAGACAGAATTTTAAGAGAATTTTCATTTTCGAGGCCTCATATTTGATACTTACTTAATACAGACCATAGACAACAAGATATGATTTTTCATGGCAACAGAGGTGTGATGTCAATTCATAAAAACTGGAACTATGTTTGGTACCACAAAGTGTCATTCGTTTTGGTTGGATTCAACCCACCTCATAGAAAATCAGTAGAATCAATGTTTTAACTGATTAGGTGTTATATATTTTTCTGATAACTTCCTGGCTTTATTTTTCTTATTCTTCTTTCAATAAGACTGAACAGGTTAATCATCCTCATCAGTCCATAAGACTTTATTCCAATTTCAAACTAAAGGCCTGGTTCTTTCTTCAAATGCAACATGCTAAAATGCAAACATCCTGCAAGTACTGTACGGAAATGAGAAGGTTCTTTATCACAATCGACTCCATCAGATCAGACCAGACCAAATCAATGTTCATTATTTTGTGCCAATGATACAGTGGCGCTCCCTAGTGTTTGAGCAGGGAATCCACCACATGATATCGGGTTAAACTCTATTTGTTTGTGGTATACTGACCAGGCTTGCAGTGAGAGAGGGCGCAGATTTGCCTAGGGTCTGGGAGCGCATGCGCACCAAGTTGGTGGTCTCTGAGCCTGTGGCTGACCATGCCTGCTGGGTTGAAGCATAAGGCAGCAGGTACTTCCCTGAAAAAAATACAATATTTGTGTGAGTAAAACACACATACACCTACAGGGGTTGGACAATGAAACTGAAACACCTGGTTTTAGACCATAAAGTTTTAGTATGGTGTAGGGCCTCCTTTTGTGGCCAATACAGCATCATTTTGTCTTTGGAATGACAGATACAAGCCCTGCACAGTGGCCAGAGGGATTTTAAAGCCATTCCTCTTCCAGAACAGTGGCCATGTCACTATGTGATGCTGGTAGAGGAAAACTGTTTCTGACTTGCTCCTTCAAAATACCCCAAAGTGGCTCATAAATATTTAGATCTGGTGACTGTGCAGTCCATTGGAGATGTTCAACTTCACTTTCATGTTCATCAAAACATTCTGTCACAAGTCTTGCTGTGTACTGGTGCATTATCATGCTGATACACGGCACCCCTTTCAGGGTACAATGTTTGAACCATTAGGCTCACATGGTCCTCCAGAATGGTTTGGTAGTCCTTGGCAGTAACACGTCCATCAAGCACAGTAGAGAATGCCATAATATTGCAGCACAAACCATCACTGATCCACTCCGCGCTTCACTATGGGCAGCAACAGTCCGGGTGTAAAGCCTCTTTGGGGCTTCTCCACACCGTGACGCTGCTAATTCAACCTTCACACTCTACTCTTAATGATGGAATGTGCAATCAGTGAAGATTGTCCACCAGGCCGCACATACATAGGCGCAAAACTATATTGGTCATTGTTTCAGTTTCATTGTCAAACCCCTGTGAATACATACATTATATACACACACACACAAAACTATATTGGTCATTGTTTCAGTTTCATTGTCAAACCCCTGTGAATACATACATTATATACACACACACACACATACACACACCAGTGATACAGTATATAAATACATACTTATACAACATTACATATATAAGTAAAAAGTACAGCAGGATTCCAGGGAACATTAGTATTTAGTGGTAGCATACTGGACAGAACATGTTCTTGAAGGTAACGTTCAGACAAGATCATAGAGGATTCTGGGAGTGTCTTACTATTTCACAGGATATGACTCAGTGACTCATCATAACGGACATGTCATAAACATATGCCGATCAACATGACCCACATTACAGCATCTATAGACACGTGCCTGGTGTGGGACAAAGGTCAAAACGCCCAGTGAGCTAGCCATAAGATTTGTGTAAATACACAAATATTTTTTCTGTGTAGCAAGCCCAAAAACATTTGGACACTTAGGGACAGTTTCTTGCATTCTACTGTGCAGCTTTTCCATTGTTTTTCAATGTAAACAATGCACCAGTTGGACATGTTTAACTGTTGCGCTTGGGTCTTTTGACATTATACACAAAAAAAAAAATGAAAAAAGGGGGAAAATTGGTCCTCACAGCGATCTGTGTGACTGGCCTTTTAAAACCACAGTCAAAGTGGTGGTTCACCCAAAATTTAACCACAAATTTTCTTCATTTCTTCTGTGTGTTTTTTGCAAATGAATGTCAATGGGGTCCGGAGTGTTTTTAAATCCCACTGACTTAGAATGTATGGACAAATAGACTTCTTAAAATATATTATTTTGTGTTCCGCAGACATTATACAGCTTTGGAACTACAGAATCTTCATTTTTGGCTAAACTATCCCTTTAAATGTATGATTTTCATTGCATTAGATAGCAAGATATCAAATCAAGTGGCATATATTTTACAGAAATATAGCACGAGCACACTTTAAGCAAAACATTTTAAGAAAATAAAGTCTGTTTGTTTTTAAATAATAAAACAATAGATATACTGTACTGTTTTAAAAAAAAAAGTATTGACACTTTCTATCATTAAATGTAAGTGGATCAGGTTTATAGTTAATATGATGAAAATCTTTGTCACACCAGCTGATCAAAAAAGTCATTGCAAAAATGGCTCAGAAAAGTTAGTTTTGAGAGAAGCTCTTTTACACCACTATTTATCTTATATTCATGCCTTTCACACCGTCACAGTACATTACAGCACTGTGGACAGCCTCTTCACCTAAACTAATCCTTTTCCAGCCCCCCGTTGATCTGTTGATAGTTTAGATGGATAATCTAATATAGCTTCATAACACTGAGCTGCCATACAAATGCAATATATTGGTTGAGGAGTCATGTAAGACGAAATTAAATCTGTTAGACCCAAATTGTATACGGTTTAATATAATAAATTTACGCTTTTGTGATCTTAAATTTCAGGAATTGTTTTCATGGTGCATTAGGTGCTGCGTAAAACTGTGCCTTGTCATTTTAAATGGTTTTGTAGACTCAGAGAAGCAAATATTTGATGTGTTATTTCCAAATAGCTGCTTGCATAGCAAATAATGCATTAGCAAGGAGCTTGTGTCCCTTTTGGTCAAATAAATAGTAAAATCAAGGTAAATAAATAATGGCAGGAGTTTGGCCTTGACATCATCGCAGAGTTCATTTCAATTAATTTGATTTGGGACAATATAAAAGCTGATTACTACAAATATAAAATGCAATCAAATGTATTAAATGGAACTTCTCCATGTGATTAAAATGGACTTATCCGTATTATGATCCGTATCATTTGTATTATGTGTTTGTCCATGCATATCTGTCCTGCTCTTCACTTCATGTTTTGTGTTTCAAGTGTTCTTCAAGTTTAAGTGTTTCTTGATTTCTGAAGTCCTTTACATATGAATCAGCAGCTGTTTGTCCTCTCAAGCTTAATACAGAACAATCTTCTCCCTGGCAACTAGCAAAACCTCACTGCAGTAAGGGCAAAATTGCCTTCAAATACTAGAATACTAAACTAAATCAGATTGAAACAAGCAGAAAAGATTGACATTTTTCAGTTTAGGAGAGGTGAGAGAGGATTCTTTTTTTAAATAATAAGACCTTCATATGTTCTTCTCTTAGAAACACTTTGTGCATTGTATCCCAGACAACCTATTGCTAACCTGTATTTATGTGTTTGTGGGCTCTATATGGTCACAGAACCCGGTCAAAAAACAGGATACGTAGGAGGAAAACTGCGATTCCGGTTCACTGCGAAACCGCTTCCATATAGTCATCGTCCACATGACTGAGGAAATGCCAGCTAGACGCCCTCAGCACATTTCAGCAGTGTGCCCTATATACCTGATTCAACACATCAGACCTCGAGGAACAGCAAGACAAACATCACATGAAACAATGTAGTCAAATATGGTGGTCATAATGTCACGTCTAATGAAAATAGCATAATGAAGCTCTTAGGAGCCAAATCCAAAACAGAAAAATAATAAATGAAATAACAACTTTCTGCATTATAAAGTTCTGACTTTACTTTTCACAATGGCTTTAAACGAGATCGACTGATTGTGATCAGTTATATAAAAGGTCTCGCTTGGATTGTCTGTGACTAACACATTTAATGTTTAAAAGAGGCCATATTATAAATGTATATTTATTATATTTTTCCCTGAGGTCAACTTGTAAACAATCAAGGTTTCTTGAACAAAACAAAAAAATGGAAATTTGGTGGAAATACATAAATGTAGCGCCCTCAATTCACTACACGTTTTGCTAAGTTCTGCCGTTTAGCTAACTAACACAAGCCCCCTCTGCAAAGCCCCGCCCTCCAAAATGTAGCTAGCTAACATGCAAAAAGCATAAATGCATTATGATCTGTTCCTTACACAAAGCTATCAAATGGCTCCAATAGACCTGGAACAGTGTAGTCCAGTGAGTAAGTTTGTGAGTAATTGACAGTTTTTAGGTGAATTATCCCTTTAAAGGCCCGGTGTACTTTATTTTCTGAGTTCGGCTCCATCTCGCGCACAGCCGTGACCGCACAGCTTATAAAGTAAACTCAACTGCGGATGAGCACGAACGGATGCTTGTTTGCTGCAGTTTGTACTCTAGTAATCAAAAAGCATGTCTAATTAATTGAAATTATACAATATATTATATACAATTTGTCAAATATTTATTAAAACTTTGACAAATTACATTTTTAGAGCCCATATGAAATCCATTCATTTTTTTTATTTCCAATTTAATAGCTAAATTCAATTTTAATAATCAAGAAGCATGTCTAATCTATTGAAATCATAAAACTTTACCAATTAAATGTTTTTAAATATTTGCAGGTGTCACAGTCATGGGCTCTTATTTTGATGTTCTTATTTTGATGTTCCCTTAGTTCCTGTTTCCCTGCTTTGATTAGTTGTGGTTTCTGATTAATTCCCTGTATGATTCTATGGTTACTTATAATTACCAGCCATGTCTTATTTAGTTCATTGTTATTTTCTTAGTATTTAAGTCCTGAGTTTGGTTATGTTCCTCCTCCGATGTTGCCTTTTGTTTATTGATACAAGCTGTTACGCTGCCTTTGTTTACTCCTGTGATTCCTGGATATTTGGATCATTTTAAATGTAAAGGATTTGTTGTGGAGTGAAGGGAAATAAAATACTGTGTGTAAAAGTTTTGTTTATTTACTGGTATTTTACAGTATTTTAGAAATTAATAAAATGTGACATACATCCATACTACTTGTTTTTTCTCTCATCAATCCAAATATGATTCGGTGTGACTTGTTACCCAGAAAATGCAGTAAATTTCAATTAAAACGTGTAACTGGTTATTTACAGTATTGGGGTTTTGTGTCAAGGGAAAAAGGATCAGGAAAAATATGATGTTTCACAATATGAACCTATTTACATCTGACTGTAGACAAAGACTGTAGACTGTGCGATAAATCGTAATTGATTTTCGATTTCGATTTTGGCTTCCACCGATTATGAAAACAAGATAATCGACGTGAAACTGTTATTGTGCCGCTGCCGCATTCAGTCCCACGCACCTTCATTTCCTTCACAGCGGTGCACCTTCATTCCTCCCTAAAAGCCCAAACTTGACATCCAAATAAGTGAGTGTTGTAAAATGCTGTCTATTGTTGCTAAAATGCGGCAGATGCTTGATATTAAACGGTGTTAAAAGTGTATTAAGCCGCGAAAGAGACAGTGTTCCCTAGGCGGAGTCCTGTACGCACACTCCGAGACTGGGCGGAACGCGCATAAGCAAAGTATACTGTTGGCTTCATATACCGGTACACGCCTAAATGGTCAAATAGCCTGCACACAAATATGTCGAAATGCCGTTTTGGTAAGTGTCCTCATAACACAGTCGGTTATGTCTTAAAGTGAATGTAAACATTGAGAAAGAGCACGTGTGTAACAGTATACTGGGTCTGTGCATTACCTCTTAAAGGGATACTCCACCCAAAAATGAAAATTCTGTCATCATTTACTCACCCTCAAGTTGTTGCAAACCTGTTGTTGTTTCTTCTGCTGAACACAAAGGAAGATATTTTGAAGAACGATTGGAACCAAACAGTTGTTTGGCACCATTGACTTCCATTGTAGAAAAAAAATAAAATACTATGGAAGTCAATGGTGCCAAAGTTCCAATCGTTCTTCAAAATATCTTGCTTTGTGTTCAGCAGAAGAAAGACACTCATACAGGTTTGCAACAAGTTGAGGGTGAGTAAATAATGACAGAATTTTCATTTTTGGGTGGAGTATCCCCTTAACAGATTTATTTGGCTGCTTTCATTTTAATCAAACAACAAAAGACAAAGATAAAATCACTAATCACTCACCACACATAAGGATTAGTCTATATTTAATGTATACAGCAGTGTTATTTTACATTTGATTACTTTATTCAATTTCTGTTGTAGGCTATTACTGATCTGAATACCACTGTTATTACATCTTCCTGAAAAACCAAAAGCACTGTTTATTTAATTAGTATTTTTGTTCTGTTGTATTTTTTGTTGGTTTTGTTTGTAATTTAGTTTCTTTGTTCTTATTGTATTGCTGACTGTTTACTTGTCTTCTGTAACTGTTTTGAGGACTTTTACTTTCATTCATTAACCTAGTATTAGTTTTAGTTAAAATTACTAATATCATGAAATAAGACTTTGATCATATCACCCACCTATAATCGTGTTAAATAATCGTGATTATGATTTTTGCCAAAATCGAGCAGCCCCAACACAAAAGTCAAAGTTTTACCTGTAAGAGCGCCCCCTAGGCTTCCTCTCCGGAGCTGCTTGCCATCTTCGCTGAGTTGTCGTTTAAATTTCAGCGCTAAACTGGAGCCGTGAGATATGTCTGGGTTGCTGGACTTGCGGAATGGCATGGAGGGGGGGTAGAGAATGTTATCCGGCTGGAAGAGAGATGAGATCAATAAGGAGTTCAATCTGGGAAACATTACACATCACATCAGGAATAGCACTGCAGTGTTTACAAAAATACACAACACACTTAGCGCTGCATATATCCATTACTGACAATACTGTACTCAATTAATTATAATGTAATAACATACTTCATCTCTAAACCACCTTTCCTTTTTTGACTGACATCACTCTTATTTTTCAACCCCATCTAAAGTTAAAGGTGCTCTAAGCGTAAGCGATGTCACGCGTTTTTTAGGCCAAAACTTTTTTTGTCACGTACAGCAAACATCTCCTCACTATCCGCTAGCTGTCTGTCCCCTGAACACACTGTAAAAAAACACGGTCTCTGCAGATACCCCAGGCTCCACAAACGGCAATAAAAACAAACTGGGCTAACCCGCTCCACGAAACATAACAAACTGTTCCAGCCAATTACCGACAAGAAGGGTTTGGGGGTGTGGTTTGGGGGGTTAGTGTGCGGATGAGGAGGAGGGAGGGTCTAGCTAGCCTCCGTTTTGTTTGACAATAGTTCGAACGTCAACAAGACGTGACGTCACCCAGGATCGCTTAGAGAACCTTTAAATACCTGTGAAAATCATTTCATGTGGACAATATTTCAATCTCAGCATGAATCAGTCACTAATGCTGCATTTGATACTGGTAAATACACTGTGTTATTATCATAATTGTCATAATTATCATAATTTTAATTTTCTAAATGCTATATATAACCAACCATTTCCTCCACTTTCAGTTCATTCGAGGCTACCCTTTCACCCCCTACAGCACTCAATGAACAAAACAAGCCTTTTTCTCGTACAGATAGAATCTTTCTAGATAAGCAAACACATCTGAGGGCTCTTTCCACCTCAAATGATAAACACATTAGTGGAAACTATTATTGGAGAAATCCAAGACAACAAACTGTTTATTACCAAAGCAGGGAGGGTAGCACTATCATATCAAAATAAAACAGATTATTTTGAATGGTGATATGGTGTAGTGCTATTATCAAGCAAAGGCTGTAATTTAATTTAATTAATTATGCAACACTGACTGTTCACGTACACACAAGCAGTTTGTGATCTGAATCTGTTCACAGTAAATGCTGCTTCTCATCTCTGCATCTGCCTGAGTTTGGGTTGCTTTTAACAAGTGCTTAATTTATAAATGAATAAGTGCTGGATGAAAAACAGCCATACAGACCATACAACTTCAGTTTTCCCGGAACATTCAATGACAGCACTAAACGGTGATGACAACTATAAGAGCATCATTCACAAGTTTCTGCACGGCCCTAACTACACCCTGGTGTATTATTCAGTCACATATAGCTACGTTGAGACCAAATATCATACCATATCAACCAAATATCAGTTATATTCTCCCTCACCGGCGACATCGTTGCCTTTTCCATTACATGGATTTCTGATTCTGACTGATCTAACTCCCGTTGTTCGTATCTCCTGCTATCCTGATTAGTATTAGCAGAATTGTCCAGTGCTGCAGTTCCATCTTCCCGGGATCTCTATTGATCAGAAACACCATTAGTTTTACTCTGGCTCAAATTAAGCACTGCTGATAATGTGCATTTGGGTAATGCAATATGACCTAACCATCTTCAAACTTGCAATGAGGAGCATGTAAACCAGTGGTTTTAAACAAAAGAGAATTAAGCTAAATATTAGTTTTTTTTTCTATTTTACAGTGAAATGTTACAATATTAAAATGTTCTTAATTCGTTTAATATTTTATAATAATACTATAATTATAATAATTTTTTATAATAATAATAATTATTATTATTATTGTCATGTTGACATATGATCACAACTTTTGTTTTTTTTTAAATGAGCAAAACAAACCTGGAGCTTTAGAAATAAATAAATTATATATATATTTATTAGGGCTGTCAAACGATTAATCGCATCCAAAATAAAAGTTTGTGTTTACATAATATATGTGTGTGTACTGTGTATAATTATTTTTAATACATAAATACCCACACATGCATGTGTATTTAAGAAATATTTGCGTGTATATACTGTATATAGACTGAATGTAGCCTATATATAATGTATATTTTATATAAATATAAACATTTTATATATAAATAACATATTTTTCTTAAATATATACATGTGTGCATTTATATACAAAATAATTATACACAGTACACACACATATATTTTGTAAACACAAACTTTTATTTTGGATGCGATTAATCGTTTGACAGCCCTAATATACACATATATAATATTCTGTATATCATGAAACCCTAAAAGCATCAGGTTTATCACTAGGAACAATCCACAATAGAATTTTCCAACTAAATGTTCCACCTTGAAATACATTTTTGTATAGCAATCAGATTTTCCATTCATAAACAGCACAGGTTATATATGTGTGTGAATTTGAAGGCTATTACAGTATGTATAAAGATCCACTTATACTGTAAGGGAAGGAAATACGGAGTTCAGAAACATCTGGCCTTGAAGAAAGACTTTGCCATTGTTGCCATCACAAACACTACTACACCACGCCGTATGACATAAATGTCCTTTCTTTCCATTGTCAAACAGAGTTGAAAAGGCTCATGAGGAGCTGAGTAGCACCGAGCTGTGGAACAATGTAAGAGTAGAGGAAGAGGTTCCTCCCCGTGAATATAAACAAATGGAGGCCTAATGTGTTCTCTAACTGGAAGGGAACTCCCTCTGCTTTGAGGAAAATGATTCATGATACTACAGACTCTTCAGTGGAGTTGCTGAAAAGAGCTGCAATGATCTACACAGATGAAAACCAAAACCATGTGAGAAGACCCACATCTTTAGGGGAGAATAAGACCATATGGAAAGACATGAGGTCACCTCCACCTGGGGCCGGGACCAGTAAAGTTCATGTGGCATATAACATGTACATACAAAGTGCTAGTAATACTAAGGTCTGTGAACACAAGCTTAAGACCCTTTCATGTTTTATTCTATGACATAAAATACATCAGTATTACCCCACTCATGATTTTTTGAAGCTGTAACGTGTCTTGAAAAAGGGAGTTGCTAACAAGTGGCTAAATGTGACTACACAGGCTGTCAGGGAGATTAAACGCCATCACGTCCAACAGGTAAACTCAGTCCGCTTTTTACAGCCTCATTGTGCTCTTATAAAGTATTCTAACTCAAACTTTCAGGGAAAGTGTTTTTTAGTTTTTTTTTTCAGATAAAAACTTAAGTTGTCGGAAGCTTAGTTATGGTGACGTTGAAGTCGTGGGACCGTGGTGTAGTTAATTTATAGCATACCTTTAGCTTTTTACTTCAGTCAACTGCATTTAGGCTTCAACATTCATAAAAGTTGTGTTCATCTGTGAAAATTATCTTGATGGACAAGACGTGTAAGCATCATAACATTTTGTTGATCACAGAGCTTTTTTTTTTTTTTTGATAATCCAAAATTGAAAAATCCTATTAGGAACCAGTGTGATGCTAACTGCCAGCTGGCCTACAAAGTGATGTCATACCTGCACCACTCTATTAGTCTTCCCATTCACAGCATAATTTTTTCATCCGTTTTGTGAACGTGCACGAAAAGAGGCAGGATTTAGCGCACAAGCCAATCATATCCAATCATAACCAATCACAGCACGATTGAGGCATCGCCTCCTCTCACGTGACTTTAACCCATTCATTCTCAATGGGCTCTATGCACGGCGGTATTTCCGGTGAAGGTCTAAGGATGCTGGATTACTTCCGCCGATCGCAGAGTCCAATGCTATACCGAGAATTTATATTGGTTTTTATACTCTATTGCTATACTAAAGAAACGTTAGTCACAAAAACAAACAAAACAGACACCCCTCATTTTGTTTATGCTTCTTTGTTTATTATATTAAATAAACATAACTATATATAAAATTACATCCAAACGTATTAAAGTTTCGTTTCAATTACATCTAAACGTATTAAAGTTTCGTTTCAAAGACGAGAGGACAGTACATTTTGAAGACTCTGCCATAATCCCGTTTTCCTCGGTTTAAATCTCCCCAACCGGAAACGCAAGAGCATCCTTGCGTCAAACGGGGAAGTTATGCGTGCATATAGCCCATTACCCCCCACAAAATCCACTGCATGCTTTATTAGGGAGTCTGTTAAAAAAGTAATAATACATTTGAGAAAGGGGGTCCCTCATAAGGGGATTATTTTTAAAAGATCTATCTGAAAGAGCTCTTTATTACAATGAAAATGAATGAATCACATATTGAGCAGTATGATGATGTTATAATTTCTGGGCAAATCACACTCACAACTAAACATTTGCCAAAGTCCTCAGGAAGACAAGTCAAGGTGAGCTGCAGCAGGAGGAAATGTGCCTCACAGCCAAGTTTCCATAAAACTTGCAGCTGATATTTCCATCACAACTTGCAAAAACGTAACTGTCACGTTTATGAAAAGCTAATCTATTCTGAATTCTGATGAAGAGCAATAAGGCATCAAAAAGCAGAAGCTACTTTGTATGATTCCTTAAAATCAACCACCTGGAGCAATCTGGCTTTATGCCCAATGCTGAAAGCAGACCACAGCATATCTCTAGTTCATGGATCACCCTTCCAAAAGACATTCAGATTATCAACCCAGAGGACTAATAAATAAAGGCTATTGTTTCAACAAGTAAAAAAAAAAAAAATTCATCTAGATGTGGCCATATATGCATATAGGAACCATTTAGGAAATGTACATACAATTGTTTCAATGAGGAGCAAAAGCTTTAGATGTGCAGTTGCCCTAAGCTTATAGAGTTGTTTGCCCCACTGACCAATACACTACCACCACCCCTTTCACAAACACCACAAAATGCTGTGCTCCTCAGTCAAAACAGTGAGATGAGATAATCATGCATAGAAAGCAAAAGGCTTGTGTGTGTTCAAAACAATACAATGTTTTGCCTAAAGGGAAAAGTTTGAATCCTTTTATATCAACAACAGAAGAAGGACAGA